GCAGGGCTCCGGGCGGCCCGGCCGGGCTCCGCCGGGGGGAGCGGGCATTACCTGAGACCGCGGTGCAGCGTTGCCGCCCGTCCCTCTGTCGTTCGGGTGTCTGTCTGGCTGTCTGTCTCCGCGGGTGGGTCTCGTACCTGCAGTCTGGCGGCTCGTTCGTGTTGCTAATTCGGCGTTGTTTGGCTCACCCACGCGCGGGGATTGGCCGCTCACCCCTGTGAGTTCCCGGGGGTCGTTGTGGCGTGTGCCTCCTCGCAGGTGGTGGGCAACTTTCCGCCTTTCGTTTCGGCAAGGCGCGGGTGTTTCTCTGCGTGTGCATGTAGATAATTGCGTGGTGCATCCCTGCGCGTACGTACGTGTGTCCGTGTGCGCCCGTGAACACACATCCGTGTGTTCGAGAGGCACGCAGGAAAAATAACCCACCCGGCTGGTGCACCCTCGGAGGATTTGCTCCATTTGCCCAGTCCTGGTGCCCTTTAAAGACACGGCGCGTCTTTTATTCGCTCCTTAAGGTTTCCTGTGACTGTCATCTTGTTTCAGTGGCAACTTGTCTGGGGTGGGGGTGAGGAGGAAGCAAGTTTGAAGTTTTGGGAGCTTTCCTCTTGTTGGCGTTGTGGTGAGTTGCAATATTGTAAAATCATGGTGTGCTGATGATGTGCCTTTATTTGATACTTTATAGGTCACTGTCACATGACAAAAGCTTTGAGACAGCTTCATCTTCGTCTGTCTGTAATTTCCATTTGCCTTCCTGGGTAAGTATGTAAACTGTACGCACGGAAAAAGAACTTGGTTGTTCTTGATAAGATAGAGCTCCTCGTGCTGCCCCTTCTTACATGGGAGATGCTTGTTCAGGTTTTAGCGCCTCAGAAAACATGTCTCCTCCGAGTGCTTATAGCAACTGGTAGATTACAAAGTTTGTATGTAGGGGGGGGTCTGAATAACCTGAGAATTAAAAGGCTGTGCATATTCAGATCTCTCTTCACTTATTTTCTTTTCTCTTGTTTTTTCTTAAACCTTGTTTTGTAAAGATAATCAGCTGATTGACTTAGGGCGTAAGTTTTAAACCAAAGTAACATTAGAATATGCGAAGTGCCACACACAGGTCTAAAACTTCGTAAGAATGTAAAGTCCTTCTAAAATTCAGTGGTAGGAGAAATAGGAAAATATAAACAGAATAGGTAATTATAAATCTCTGGAGGTCGAGAATCAGTGAGAAGTTTAGCAGAACTGTAATACTACTGCAACAGGAGTCGGTTCAGCTTTAACACGTAAACTGAGAGCTAATTAGAATTCCATCCATGCTCTTTCTGTGTTACTGTTTTTTCTTTTGGCATTGATTAATGCAGGTACTTATCAATTTGGAAGATAAATCTTAGTGGCTAGTTTACTAGTATTCCTGAGCTCTCAGGTACACAAATTTTTTTTTTCTAGCTGTATGTTGGGATAAGTTTTGACACCTTTTGAAGGGTTTGACGTCTTTTAAGCTGAAGTAGAAGTGATACTTTAAAAAAGAGGTTCTGAATTTGTGGGATCACATTTGTAGATGACATATAGCGAGTGGCACTTGGAGTGCTTCTTGTACAATCGCCAGTGGTGGCACTGAACTGCATTTGGCCCAGAATGGGGAAGTAGGAGCTAATTTTTTTCATGGTACTATTGTGTACATAATTAAAAACAAGACAAGACATGTATTTGGGGTAAGCTTAGTACTCATAAACATGAATGATTAATAACATACTCTTGACCTTTTCCAAGCAGTGTATAGCGGGCATAGGATAAGTGATGGTCCTAAAAGTACTGGCTCAAAGTGTGCTGTTGGGAGCAGCAGCTGTTCCAGTGTGATATTATGACCACAAAACTAGTCTTAAGGCTGGGATAACCGCTATGGGGTAGATGGTTTGAAGGGAGGATTCTGCCTGTTTTCCAGTTCTTGTAGAATTATACCCCAGTTCCATTTTTTTTGTTTTTATGGGCAATGAGGTTGGTGTGTGTAGGTCTGAGAGTAATACACTAAATTGAATTACTGAAATTCTTCATGATAGACAAGTTGCATAGGAGAGTATTGCTTTCAATTTGATAGCATTACTGAGAAGAATCATGTTCTGTGTAGAGTAATTGGTGCAACAATTTTTAGAGAGTAAAAACATATTAGCAAATTTGAAAACTGGCAGATAGGCTTGAAACTGTTGTTCAGAGCTGAATGCAAATACACTGATTTCTGAGCTTAATTTTCTGTGTTTTCAGGTAAGTCAGATTAGAGTGCTGTAAGTGCTAAGGACTTTATTTGGAGTAATAGTAAAAGATACTGAACAAGAATATCTCAGGGACCTTGCTTCAGGTAGTATCTTCAGTCGTTACCTGGTTTTAGTTTTATGCAATGAAGTCTTCTGGATGCATGGAAGTTTGATCGTAGAAATGAAGCGGTGGTCATCATCTCCCCAGAACTTTCAGAGGAGTGGACCTTGATTTTGTGTATAGTGCTAAATGTAGGTCTTACTCGATGTTGAACTGTTGTGAACAGATTACAAAGAAAAGAAGGGTGGGGTATCTTCTTGAAGAAAAAGGCATAATAGAGGCTTTAGAGGAAGCAGGGAAACACATTTCCTCATAGCTTAAAAAATGGTAATAAAAACAATGTGCCTGGTTAAGGGGAGAATAGAGATTTCATTAGATTTGTCCATGACTAGAAACTTCCTGTTACTTTAGGGTGCTTTTAGTTTGGTAAAAGTGATGATTTCTTTGTTTACACAGTTTACACAGTTCTGAGTAAAGTAACCATTCATGAGTGGAGTTTACTAATTTGGTCTTGACTTATGGGAGAGACACCTGGGTTCTGGTCTTCGTTAACAAGTGCCGAGTGGAGTGCTGGTGTGTCGCAAGCTAAAAGGGGGTGAGCTGCTTGGGAAGGGGCCTTGTGAATGCTTCAGAAATTGGCCCATGGTCTCAAAAGTTCATTGGATACTACTGTCCCTCTTGGCACAGCAAGCTGATAAACCATTTCAAGCAGACACATCATTTAGCAGAAATGTAACTCGTTTCTGTGTTGAAGTAAACTCAGAATATTTAAGAAGCTTACCCTTGATGCTTTTGAGTTTTTTGGGGTCTGCTTGTCGTAAACCCGTTGCCTGCAAAGCTTCCATTGGTTTCAGCATGAGGTTTATTGAGGAAAGGAGTGTAGGAGTGATGGTGAGAGGAATTTGTCCATGTTTATTTTCCCATTCAGGGAAGAAATTGCTTTCTCTTTCATAGCTGTTGTGTGAATAATTAAAGATATTAAATGTCACTTTTCCACATAAAATACCAGGGGTAATTGTGCAGTTATTTTATAGCTAACATTTTTTCTTTTCATCCAGAATGATCTTAATACATTTTGTTCGTAAATTAGTGGTTCCATAGCTTGCGATCGTGTAAGCATGTGAATATCTTTAAGCAGATGACAGATCTTGTTAAATTCACTGGTACGAGTGCTCACATTCAGAGCTTAAAGATATTCCAGGTTGCTGCCGCTCGTGGTCTGTGGGCTGAAGATGCTCAGCATCTCTGAAGCTCTGTCAACATGGCATTAGGCAGGGCAATCTTCTGCCGTACAGCTGGTAGCAGAGTGGTATGAAGAAAGGAAATTTTGACCAAGAGAGCTGGGCAGGGTTGCTCTTCCACTGCATGTAGCGGTGGGGAAGGTGCAGGTGAGGTAGATGAGACATGCGGTGTACAAGGCTCTGCTGTCGTGTCAAGGCTGTGAAGGTGCCTGCAGTGAAACACTGCCTCTCTTTCGGTGGTACGTGGCACGTGTAGTGTTCAGGCCTCCCTCTTTATCCGAAGGTGGTTCCTTGGTGGAGGAAGGCACTAGAAATCAAAGTCGGAACTGAACTGAAACTCTGATTTTAATTTCTGAGTGTGCCACAGACTCTCTCTGTGAGCTCTGGCAAGTGAAGTAGTCACAACCAGAGGCCACTTTCCAAATTTCGGACTCAAGTTGGACTTGGTGTACCCTGACACAGGGGTCGCCCGCCACAGCTGCCAGTGGAATCAGCGGCACTGCCGTGGCCTGCTGGTGGCTTCCAGGATCAGAGTTTTTTCCTGGAAATACAGCCATATGTGCCTTTGCCACCTACAAATGGAGACTGACTGTACTTCCCTGTATCATTAAGTCATGTGGTGCCCATACATTGGGACAGTTTTCCTGAGTGAATTAAGGGTGTTTTTTTTAAAGCAATATCGATAATGTTTTACATTTCTGTAACCTTAATTTATGTTTTCTTTATTACTTAGGAGTCTATAAAGCTGGGTTGAAATAATAGTCACGTGTATTTCAAAATATTCTTGAGAAGAAACAGGAAAAAGTCAACTTTCTGACTTCTGTAGTGTTAACTTTATTTCTTTTCCATCTACCATGTTTCCCACCTTTCCTGGGGTATCATTGTCAGAGGCTTTTTCATTCTGTTTCATGTCAAAAGATTGTTAGGACTTACTTCATGTTTATTATTTTATTTTAATTTTTTTTAAGATCAGTAATAATACAGTGTTTCTTCTGAGAGCAATGTGGTGAGCCTGGTACTAGTGGACGTGTGAATTTCACAAAAGACTTCTACAGCTGTCGCCCTTCTTTACAGTTTACGAAGGGGTAAGACAAACCAACACGAGGATTACTCTAACATTAAGAATGGCTTGGTGGGCTGCTGTTAGATTGCATTGCTTGGAGGGGGGGGAAATCACATGTTACTCTTTCAATAAGAACAATGTTATTAATCATTGGCAGTTGTTGGCATTGCATTATTCACGTGCTTATGTCCTGTCTGGCGAAGTACATAAGCCATACTGTAGTCACACACCTCAAAACAAGGAACAAGCATTTTTGTCCCTGTTCGAGGGATCTGAGATGCAAAGCAATGAAGGAGCATAGGCTTGCCTGCGGTGGCTGAACAGGTTAGCATTAGAAGGGAATGGAATAAAATCTGCATCTGACTCCTTAGTTTTGTGTCGTTTCCATTGGTGCATGCTACCCCTCTGAAGCTCTCCTGGTAAATGCCTGTCTTGACATGCGAGTCGTCTCACTGAATTCTGTGCCAGTTGGACATCTTTTGCTAATACTCAACTTTCATTCATAATGCTACTTAAAAAAAGAAAAAAACAACAACAAAAAAACCCAACCCCCCAAAAAAAACCAAAAAAAACACACCAAAACACTTTCAGAATAACGTGAAGTTACTGACTTTCAGTTCGGTTGTATTTGTTGACAGCAGAGTATAAAGTAGGAGGAGAGCTTACTTAAGAGGTTTTTGGCCCTAAACGTGGTATTTGAGATACTGTGTATATTACACTATTTATTATATTACACGATTTATTTAATACTACTTTCTTTGTATTAACTTTATGAAGATACTCATTTTCATAGCATAGTTTTAGAAGTTTGCATTCAGCTGAAATAGTTCTTTACAATTATTTCTCATATTCATACTCTAATGTGAAATCGCAACTTACTTTCTTGCGAAACATGGAATTGACAGGAGCAGCCACTTTGGTACTCTGGCAGTATTGTGATAGATGGGGCAACTTACTAATCTGAACTTTTATTTCTAAACCAGCTAAACATATTTCATGCTTTAAGATTTTCAGATTTGCTGATTACTAGTATTTTGTTACTGAGAGTAGGAGTTGGCTTTGACTTTAAAATAAAAGTTGTAATTGAGGAGGAAAGTGTACTTTACTTAATGCCTGAGTGTAGACCTAATTGTAGTATTCTCACAATGGTATC